TACATTCCTCACATTCAAGCTTGCTTCTTGGGAGGAGGTGTAGCGTCTTATGTCTCCTGGCAAAAATACTGCAAGTGAAGCCTCGGATAGATGATGGATAGAATAATGAAGGTGATAACTTTAGAGGTGTTGGCGCCGGGTAGATTACTATTCAGGTTGCAGTGCAGTCCTTGGTCTCTCCTCTGCTGCTGCCTGCAGGGTGCCAGACTCAGCTTGACAACACATCCACCAGGTTCCCACAGACCAACCATTACAGAGTGATCGAAGACGTGGTCTGCCTCTTGTTAGCAGTGGAGGTACCTGTTGAAATTCATCATGCCCTAATAGTTATATCACATACCAAGAGACTGAAAGAATGAACATAAATATTAATGAAGTATTTTTTACATAATCGCCCTGTGGATATCGTGTCAGAGTTTGTAAAATGATAGTGAACTTTTTGCTATACTGGAAGATTTTGTCTAATTTCTGATAATGCCCGATCATGGCATCATCACAGATTTCCTGATTGGCAACATTGTCTTTATCCCAGCTTCTCTCCACACACCTTTTTAAAGATGTGTCAAATCCTTGTTGTAAGCAGATGTAAATCCTGCTGATCCTGTCAGATTTGCTAATTGCAGTTGGTTGCATTTGACATCACAAAGTGCTAACGCTGTATCGGCCTGGATTTACCCCCGTGGCTTTGGGCGACCAGCTCTATGACCTTGGTTTTCAGCTGCTGGGTGTTTTTAGCGCCTCAAGTGTGAGTGTTCTCGCTTTAAAATTAGAAACTCGCTGATGCCATTTCTGGAGCAGAGAGAAGTTGTTTTTTCACATGCAGACTTTTGCCAATGCTTTTAACAACATTTTAACAGTTGGAGAAGCACCAGATTGGCTATACTTCATATTTTTTGTTTAAATTTACGCTTTATTGAAGTTGTATGAAAAAATAAGTAAAATAAACTTAAATTTAAAACTTCAAAAACATGCAAAGCTGCAGGAAGGTCATTTTAAGAGCACAGAGTAACTTTACCAATGGACTATGGGAAGCCTAGAGTGCACAGCAGCAAGCATCAAGGGTCATTGAACTTAAGTTGCCCATAAAACATGTAGTTTATGGTGCTTTCAGTTCCTGGTAAATGTACCTTGTCTACAAAAAGACATTGTGCAAGGTTGTCATACTGAGTTGGATCCGAGCCCTCACATTGAAAAAGGAAGATAAGACTTTCTTTAATGTGGGTCAGATCTGTGAAGAGAAAGGAAAGTACCTATATTATTATCAGTCTTTCTCGAATACATTATATTTTTCAAAAAACATCCAAATCATTTCAGTGTTATTTTAAACATTTTCAGTATGGGTTGTTTTTCTTTACTCTAAGTCACTGGAGGCTCAATTAGCAGCTGAGAATAGAGAGCTTTTTAAATCTGGAAACATAACAGGGATTCTCTTTGAACTAAGAATGACAAGATGGCATTTAAGGACATGTTTTGGGGGAGTTATTGCTTGATTGACAGCTTTCTTAGACTATCACAGTCAGCCAGAGTAGTTTCCCATTGCTCACAGCCCCACTGGCTACTTCCTACTCCCATTTACCAAAGTCTGATTTCTGTAGTAAGGTCACTGCAAAGATCATGGTGGGGACAAATTTAAATATAAGGAGAAAAGCTGAGTGGTAATTTAAAAGTCATGATTGTGAGAGATCTGTACATTAGAGTCTCTCATCTAATCCATCAATCTAATTCAATCTTATTTGTCTTGTATGTTATAAAATTATTTATGGCCTTTTGAAGTTAGAGAAGTTTAACAGCATAATGAGATGTGGGACAGTGATAAAATTCCATTTACGTAATAAAACATTGTGTGGGTGTGTTTGTGTGCGCACACTCAGTAGTCCTGGTGCATTCAGGACCCTATTTGTCATCTCCCTGTGATGTTGGTGGATTGCAGTATCTTGACAGTAAGCCCTGGTAATTAATCCCTGTTTATTCAGTGTCTTGGCTAAAAATAAGTTATGCAACCATCCCCCTGTTTCCCTGCTCTCACACTGTTACCGACCCCATCCAGATTACATTTGAGCTGTTAATGAGGGGCGCAGCAAACCACGCGGAAACATGCGCACGCAGTGAAACGCATGTTACAAACACAGGAAGACATGTTAGAGGAGAAAAAAGGAATATACCTGCAAGGACCTCTACGGTCACACCCGTTATCCCTCAGTGCAAACACAGAGGGCTCAGTCCAAATGAATGTGAAAGGTCAAATTAGTTTATGGCTGACATTTTAAAACGTGCATCATTGAATCCACGCTTGAAAAATCTTTAAATGTCATGTGTAATGAAGTCACTGATGACACAGGGTGGTATCTCAAGTATCATGACTTTTTAAATATAGCTTGTGAAAGAGGTCATCATAGGATCTAATTTTTTAGTGGCTGCTGTTTGTTAGTCGGTGTGAAGGAATCAGTTGGAATCAGTGATTGAAATGCTCCTGATCTCACAGAGCTGTGGGTCCTGTGTTCACACAGTATTCGCTTTAGTCTGTATGGAAACAGAGTATGAGATAGAATTACATCGCATTACTAGTTCATCCACTAATTAGCAAGATCACCGTGTTGCTGGGTTCAAACTCTGAAAACACTGTTTGCACAAATTATTAATTTATGTAACAACTTTATGTCGGTAGCACAATATTAACTTTAGGAGGATTTTTTTTAAAGGGGAATTTAATTTATTTCTATATGATTGTTTTGTGCTGCCATGGTTTCATGTTGGACAGAACTGAAATTAAAAAACACCGGCAGTCTATATATTAATGTTTTGGATTTCTCATCGCACATGGTGATGAAAGCATGATGGTGAAGTCCTAAATAGAGAGCCATGTGCAGGTTGCATTATTCATGCAGGAGTCCCTGCACCCCCAGCTCTGCACTCTCTGAAGAGCTTGTACCTCAGCTGATGAAAGGGCCTTGCTACGGCGGCACGCTGCTGTGGTACATCGCAGGCGGTTGTGTAATAATCAGAGGGATACAGTGGCTGTCCTTTGCAGCTGCCGCCCTGCGCAGTGGAGGGAGAGGTGCCAGCACGGGGGTCTGTCAGCCAACTGCTGCTCTGATTCAAGTGCACTTTCCTGGAAGGAAGATAATCACTGCACAGGACACGGACAGGCTGTACTATTCCCATATCAAGACCATCCCATTAAATAAAAATATGCTTCCGGTTAGAGTTGTGTTGCGCCTAAATAAATGTCCTTTGCTGTTTTCCAAAATGCAGGTCAGTACCTAATTTATTCTGCTTAATTGTGTTTGGGATCACACATGGTTTGAAATCATGGCTTACAATTTAGCAATAAAAGTACTACATGAGTTGTAGTATTACACTGTTGGTACACTATACTTTTTTATACTGAATTTCTAAGTGCAACATCTATAATTCACGTATTTACAACCTGTGCTGGCTGTAGAGAGGATTTCGTCTCAAAGTTGACGGCTCATCACGATGACTGACAAGTGCTAAAGTGTAAATTTGGCCAGCTGAACAGAGCAGGACCATTAAATGTGTTTTGCTGCTACAAGGGGAAAATGAGTATTATCTCCATCCAGCGTTGCTGAACAATTTGCAAACATAGCCATTAAAATGTCTCAACATGTCAGTTGTAATTTGTAACTTATAATTAAAGCGACTTGACTTTAGATCAAATGACAATGAAAGGGGCTATTTATGTTTATCATAGTTTATTTTAATTACAACTTGTAGTAGTAGTAGCCTGAGAATGAGTTCAAACTTATTTTCAACTTTTTTAAGTGGCTGTAGCTGTATATTTCTTATCTGACCATCTTTCTGGACCTTAATAATAACACTTGGTGCTTGATGTAAATAGTAAATGTCTGTCTACTGAGTAATTCATCTGTAGCACGATGCTGCAGGGTGACTGTACTGGAGAGAACGACAAACTATTGTGCATCTGAAGGCCTGAACTCTAAACTTCAGCAGAAGTTTTCTGTCTCACATGAAATCATAATAACTTTCTAGTGTAGCGCTTGTTGCTTGCCATTTGAAACTCACTGCATACACCATGGTGCTTATTATTGTAGCTCTAAATATGATTACATTTGGATTTCTACAAGAGTGCCATTCACTATTAGCATCAACCTCTCCTTTGTATCACACTCACATGCTGCAGTGCGAGTCTCCTGACAGGCTGGTATGAGCAACTCGATCTAAGGCTTGAACTATGGAAGAGCCTGTCACTTTTGTGCAGTGTTTATGCAATAATAAACTTTTTCATTACCTTGAAGAGAGCTATGAAATATATATTTTTTTAAAGTAGGACAATCTGAACTCAAATCCGAACACAAATTGTGGACATATGTGACCCAGGGTCCACGGCACTATTACACCAATTCCTTCTGCACCCTTAATTTCCTTTGCTAATTCATTTCCAGTAGTTTAAGTCTACAATGAAACACAAAATTCTGTAAAACATTTAAGCCACTGAAATAATACTGCACAATGAAAAATAATAAACTATTATAAGAATAAACTTAAACGCACTGTTAATGCAACCATTTTATTGTAAAATTCCACAGCTATGTGCAATTCCCTTATGAAAAGGATTTTTTTCCAGTACATGTATAGGATATTATGCAGCCCCAAACAGAATTCATCAGTGCCCCTTTATACAATACTCAAATGTACATAGATGGCAAACAACTAACATACTGTATGTATGAGAATCATATGAAATTTATTTTGCTCTTAGATACCATTTTACTGAGTTCTGCAATTCCAGCGCGTTTCTTTTTTTTTTTGTTCTGCATTTTGACAAAATACATAACAATAGAAAATATCTACATGTGCTGTTCACATATATGCGTCTCGTTTGTGGGTCCCAAAATAAATATTGTCAAAATTGATAATAATATCGATGCAGGCAAAGGATTAGATGAAATGATGCTTGAGTCCCAGTCCCTCAGAAATGTCCCTGTTTGAAAAAAAAGAAAGCTTGTTCCACATGCATACTGCTGAATACTCCTGTACCTTCATACCTCTGCATTGAGAATACAGTGCACAAAAACAGAAAATATTATCAACATATCATAAACAAGCTTTAACCGTAATGGAAAATAAATCATATTTGTTTTCTGCATCACTGTTAAAACACAAAACATGCTCTGTTATCATTATGATAAGTTTGTAAAAGAGACAGTTTGAATGGGACACTTTTTACCTTTTGACAAAGAGCATCTGCGAACATCCATATCTGAGGGAACATCAGTGGGGCAAAAAATAAATTGGCTGTTTAACAATTCCTTTAAGAAAACGCTGGATTCACAGATGGTCTAACAATTTGATATTCTCTATTGCATGTGTCAGTTTGGCACTTCATAAGATGTAATCACTCTGTTACACTTTTTTAAACTACTTAACACTGATGACGCCCTGTCTACGTAGCTATTGACAAACCCACGGTCCTAAAGATGTGAGGGTATGTGCACAATGACGACAGGTTTCGGCTGCTGAGTGGCAGCTGTGGAACACAACAGGACCATCGTTCAATACAAAAAGGGAGAGAACGGCAGGAAATCTGAGATAATCTGCTAAATGCAATTAGTATCATAACTGATGCTTAATTGATGATGGCGAGTATCAGAGGCGGTGGTGGGAAAAGTGGAAATAATTAGTTGTCACTTCTTACTCTGGCGGCTTGGTAACGTTTTTATGTGTTGTTGTTTTTTAACCCCCCTGAAAATATTGACGTCTACTACTCAGAGGCTGCACAACAGGTAATGTTGTAACTCACTAAATTCAACAGAAGAACAGTTTGACAGGCAGTGTGTGAGAGTAGTGCACATTGATCACAACATAGAAAACACAAGATTAATAAGCTCAAGCTCCACTGACACATAGAACGAAAATGTATCTTTGATATAAATGACAGCATTCTGTGTTTCTTTTCAGGGGCTATATGAACATAAAATACATTTTCTTTTTGACAGAATAAATAAATACCATCAATGGATAAATAAATAAATAAATAAATACCCCCATTACCCCTAAGTATTCTACATGGTCAGTCCAGCATAATACAATAAGTCTAATATACTGTATGATGATATACTGTAACTATGCTGAAATTACAAAATATATTTCCCTTTTACAAAATCCCAAGGGCCCGACAAATGTTTTCTTCTGTTTATAATCTATGTACAAAAAAAACAAATGTGATTTACACCCGTTCCTCATGAGTTTACAAATCATACTCGAGCACTGTCTCCACTTGTTGCATACTGGTGTCTTATCAAAAGTGACCTGTAAGGGGTTTTAAACTCATGTGCGTCGTATTTACAGTTCAGATGCTTTCGCTGTGTTCTCTGCTCTCTCACACAGCATTCAAAATACATTTTAAGGGAAAAGTAAAACATAAAAAGAAAAATAAAGAACGTCAGTTTAACCAGTGAATATATTTACTCAGTTTGAGATAATTCAAATCCTCAGTGTGTTTACAAAGAGACAGGAAGTGAGATGCTTGAGACTGAGGCTCACACGTTTGTTGAGCTCAATACAATCAGATACAAGTTTTACTTGAATGAAGATCTCAAGTTTATTTATTAGCAGTTAATATTTTCTCATTTTAGAAGAATGAACACTGTTCTAATGCAGAGATTTCAAAATTATATCTGTGATGACATTGCCATGTGTAGATGAGCCTGAACATTTCTATTTGAAGGCAACATCTCAACCTCACCTCCGCTGACCTAGGGGGAAAAACCGATTTGTATTATAACCTCACTTGCTTTCGAGCAGCTTCTTTTGTAAAAGTTTGCATAAGCAAAATACAACAGCAGTGTATCATTATGTAAATGCACACTTTTAACAGCAAGTGGAGGAGAGGATCGGAGGTCAGTGTTGTCTGTACTGTTACCGAACGGCAGCAAAGAAAATGATTAAACTTATTTTCTGGTCTGATCTTCCTGCTTGTATGCAAAAATGATTCCTCAAGTCAAAAGCATGAAGTGGGCACATTTTTTTATCATTTAATTTTCCAATTTTTCTAGAAAAAAGGTATAATTAAGTCCTGAATGATAATCAACAGTGCTCGTTTATTAGTTTCCATATCGAACAGTAGAAGACCATAAAACATGTTGATTTTTTGGCCTGAAATGTGCATGCAATAAATGTAAACCACTATGTAATAGTAAAATACAGTGTCTGTACAGTTAAGCATTTAAACAGCATCCTTGCTGCCTGACCACACGTGAAAAATGCAATTTTTAATTGTGCTAACATGTTAGCTAAATAAATTAAAAATAAATTAGCATTGTCAAAATGAATTTCAGTGTCACTGCCTAACATAGCTCTATTAAAGTGCTTCAGATTCAGTGTTTTAGTATGTAAAAATTGGGTGATATGACATACATGATATAATTCACATTTCTCTGATGGGTGTTTGATGTGGCCTGATTTACTATTTATTTTAATTGTTTATTGTGAAAGGAATGCATTTTTCGTAAAGTAATTGATTCATACCAATTGAGAAGAAATAAACAGGAAATTTAAATTAAAAAGTCAAAAATAAAATAATGACAACAAAAAAACGTCGATTCTGAATTGCTCACACAATCAATGTTTTCAAAACACATCTACAAACCTCTCCATGCCAGTAAGATGTAATGCTACAACATTTGCAATGTCTGTTAAAGTTAAAATAACTTGATGTAAAGAGATTAAAACCATAGAATTAAAGGAAAAGCTTTAAATCAATTCGTTGGGTGTTCAGTGGGTCCCCTTCTCAAAAATGTCCTTTGCTGGCGCTGAGCGTATGTAGAATATAATGAAGTGTATGATAAGGCCGGTTACACACCAGGGCCTAGAGATAGAGATAGGAGACCCAGTAGACCAGGTTGAAGAGACCAAACGCAGTGGGGAAGAAGATGCGTGCATATGAGTCTATCTTGGCGATGCGGATATGCAACCTGCCGTGCCGCCAGGCTCCGGAGCGGCAGTCTTCAAAGCAGCAGAAGAAGCTGGTGCAGTCCTTCCCGTCCAAACACTCGTAGCCGTACTCCTCGTCTCGCTCCTGCATGTGTGTGGCGTTGTTCATTTGAATGGCTGTGGCGGAGCGTGGACGGATGTCTACCGTGGGTGTCTGCTTTTAACAGGACAAAATCACACAGTTAGCCACCGGAGCCTCGGAGCATCGTAATCAAGACCCTCACTGACAATAGCAGGGGACCTAATTTGAGCTGCCACTTTTCTGTCTCCCATTTAATTTCGACACCGGTCAGCAAAATGTAATTTGCACATTCAACTTGCCGATGTCAAGAAAATACAAATAGACCTGTGGATGTAATTAGTGAGGCTTATAGTGACAAAGGGTCAGACCCTGTGAAACCAATGTTGCACATTACACCATTTTAAGATGAAGGCTGAGGAAATCATATTATTTTAAATTTGATTTTATTTAGCTGTTGTATAAATCTACTGCTGCGTCATTTGCCCCAAGGACAGTTTTTATAATGTTCTTAACGTGCAACGCATGAAAAGAATTTTGTAATTTTGACTTGTATGGCTGTTGTGAGCATTTTTTTTTTTATAGAATACATTTATAGGATATGTTGTAACTGGCTTATGATGCACCATAAAGCTAAGCTTAGGGAGGAGCATGTGTTGGCAGATGTGCAGCACACAGCTCTATATTCCTCCAGCCCACTCTTCCTGTCACTGGATGGGTTGAAATAAACCTCCCTTTCAAACGGCGCTCACCACTGGAGGCCATGTGCCTTTCATTTTGTGACGATTTCCTAAAATAGGACAGTGACATCAGTGGGTCTGCGGCCCCGTCATTCTACAGGGAGACAATTAGTATTCAAATAGACAGTTTTCATCAGCTTTTATCTCCGAATGCCATGTCACCTTTGCACAAATTGGAATTCTGGCTGTTTGGCAGATTAAATTGCCCCTTGCCCCCCCACCCCTTTGTAGAAATGGAAGCTCCCTTGACCTTGCTGATAAACTAGAGTGTCAAGCTCATCATTTAAAAAAAGACTCGGTGTAGTGAGTTGAACGTACTCCAGAGGTCAACTTCTAAGAATTTCACATCACCGCTTTTCCTCGTCTTTTACTTTGTTCTCCATGTTTTAGCTTTGTCAGATAGCAACAATAATCTGGATTAGTTTCAATAAGAAGGTATTCATTTAGATACTTGCTAATATTAATACCTTCCTTTTTTTAAGTGCAACAAATATCACACAACAGTAAATACATGTTAAATATATCTATAGGCATGCTCTGCTGCAAAAAATGAGGCTGTTTTAGTTTGGACATAACATGATCTGCAGTTAGCATGCATCCTCCAACAAGCTTCAAATACTTCAACTTGACTGAGCCGTTCATTCCCTGCAACTTCTTATCTTGCCCAGCACGAGTGCACAAACCTGACGTCCCTTTGAAAACGATACATAACCACAAACAAAGCAACGTACGGGGTTAGTTTCAGCATTTCTGTCCTCATTGACGGACAGTATGTTGAGTTAATAAGGGGATTAGCAGAACAGGTTATGACTCGGTTCTCAAAGGGGATTGTTGCACTGGAGGAAGCGCAGTGGGAGCTCAAGCAGGAGGAGCATTAACAGCATCCTGCCGCATGGCCGGGTCAAGCTGGGCTGTGCTGGGTCAGTGTTAGCAAAAACAAATACAAATATATAGAAAGAATAGTAAAAAAAAGAAACACAAAAACAACACAGTGGCACTGGCAACTTTAACTGGCTGAAAGTAGACAACCTCGGATCATACCCTGGACGATCCCTTGGCTATGTAGCTGAATATTTTGTGTGTTTCCATACTGCTGGTGATTTTTTTCAGCAGCATATTTAGACTCATATCTGCTGAAAATCCAACTAATCCAATCTAAAAATATTCCTCCTATAGTAAAATATTATGTGTTAAAAAAACAAATGTCTTGACTTGGGTGTTTCAAGTTAAATTTAGATCTTTGCCGGACCCCTCCCACCCTGGGATGCTTTTCGGGTGTTTAAAGATTAGCATGAGTTAATCCCCCGAATGGACCTCCAACTCTAATTAGACTTAACACGGTGCAGGGGTTGTCTGTTTCAGTCTGTTAAGGCTCTGCTGACTCTGCAGGAAGCGTCAGGTTGAGAAGCCCAACAAACACACAGGTATAGATTTACTGGCAGGAGAAGGGGGAGAAGAGGAAGCTGTTGCAGCAGCTGCTAGTTCACTGTGGTTACAACAACAACAAAGAGTGAAACAGGACAGAGGGAGCCAGAATGAGTCCACACCGGGCCTGGACTGTTACATTCCTCTGGACAGGGGATGTGTGGGATGCTTATTTGAATTTTTTAAAAACTGCATAAGTACGTCTGGCTGGCTGCCTCCGCACTGTGCACTGCAGCGCCCCTTTGTAATGCTATCTCTGATACCTATTTAGTAACTGAGGAGGAGTACAGCAAGAATGCAGGTAAAGGATAAAGAGAGAGTAGAGAGAGCATATCTGCTGTAGGACAGGCAGAAAAGCAGTGAGGTGCTGGGGGCCCAAGGAGCCGAAATGCAGCAGACACATGCAGTCAGACACAGGCAATATACCTTTGAGGAAAATAGCCGGAGGAGCTTTTGTCCAGACAGGAAACAAAGAATATGTGGAGTTGAAAGAGAGTAACAAAAAAACAAAGAATACATGTAAACAGAGAAAAAACATCAATAAAGGGGAAAATAAACAGAAACACCAAGCTAATGCATGAAATTTACAATTACTGGAGAATTTCACTCAAAGTGGAAAAAGAGGAGATATACTTTAGAGAGACATACATGTTACAAACAGACATGGGGGGGAGATGCATGGTGGGATATATGTATCTCACATGATTCTTACAACAAGAAAATATCAAAATACAAAGAGACTAAAAAAGGGGAAGTACACATGATCCATTATTCAGAATTGAAATACTGACATCATCAGGTTTTCACTTTACGTCAACAGCATTTGTGTAGTATGTGTTGCAAAAGGTTGTGGTGATGCATGGTAGGATTCTAAAAAATAAACTGAAAAACTACAAAAGATCTTCAAAAAGTGCTCTGAACTTTAAGGAGAAAACTTACATCACATGAAACTGAAGTAGTCAAATACACTTCTGAGGTTCTTCATTTGTAGTTCCTCGATTTCTTGTTATTGCCATATTTTTTACAACATTTATGAGCATCTGAAGAATTTCAGACCTTTCCTTGCTACTTCCTGCGTCTTGGCAAGTCATGCAGAGAACCTAGAAAAGCTCCTCTGAGATGGCGAACTGACATTACACCTTCCACTTCATTATTCATTCATCCGTCCACGGGACAGTTAGACCATGTGCACAACCTTAGCTTTCCAGGCTGAAACTAGAGCGCCCCACTTTCCCCCAAAGTTCCAGTCCAATACCCCTGTTCACCCAAGCGCAGTATACCCAGAGGTTTAAGATTTTATATCTTTCAGGTTTGTGAATCCCGTCCAAAAACCTGCCTCGACTTCCAAGATATGTTTCAATTACGCACCACTTTAAAGTACCACAAAAGTGTTGAGTTGTCAAAAATAAACTCAAAAAACACACTTTTCCACTTAGTTCACATCAAGTGGTAGATTTGGACTCAATATATTTCAACACTGACTGGTTTCAAGAATTATGTAAATTAGAAAATGTGGAGACTGTTTACTCTAAATGTGATGAGTTTGTGGTAATCGTGTGTATATGAGATGCCGCCATCTCTTGAGGGATTTAATGCTCACTCCCCCGTCATGTGACATTGGTTTGAATTACAACTGGAACAGATGTGTGGTGGATTAGGAAATGGTTCGAGCTGCATGCCTTGCTCATTGAGTCATTTGAAGCAGCAGCCCTCAGGAAGATGCTCCCTTAGGGATACTTAGCAATGTGTTGTTAGTTTTCTGAGGCTTATCCTAGTACTAATACATACAGTAGATGAGGAACAAGGAAAACATGACCTCTCACCTAAATACAGATGTTACACACTCATACAGTACATGAATCAAAGTAAAGTGTTGTTTGTAGCTACATGGCTATTATCAAAAACTATGACGTCAAGTAATTAGGAAGTTTAAAAAGAAGTTCAGTTCAGTTAGTTTTTGAATGACGCTCACCGGGTTTTTCTTCTTCTTGTCCTTTTTGGCGCTCGGCTTCCTGTTGCTGACAAAGTAGTGCAGCGTGCCGTACTCTATGAGCGCGGCGAAGACGAAGATGAAGCACACGGACACGAACAGGTCCATGGCAGTCACATAGGACACTTTTGGAAGGGATTTCCTGGCAATTGTACTCAGCGTGGTCATGGTCAGCACAGTGGTGATGCCTGGGAAAGAGAAAACAAGGAACAAGAGTAAAACACAGAGAAAAACTGAAGCACGTTGACAGTGTTTTTTCTTGCATGGAGCTCAATATGTCCGTTTCACAATACTGCATTCATGTTACATAAAAAATGTGTATTATCTAGTTATTATAAATTATAAAAGCGTTATTTCCTCAGAACAAAATGTTATGTAGTTTTCCAAAATGTTGATATTAACAGGAACCAGAATGTTTATTATAACATTGATTCAGGCATATTTTCTTACTAAATGCCCCTTAAATCTTTCATGACGTTGAGCACGATTTGCATGATGCTCACAGCTTCATTCAGACATTTAATCAGGTGTTTAAAGAAGTTAGCTCGTAGTAGTTTCACAGTTGGAAAGAAGCCGAATTCAGCTTAAATCCCAGCGAGGATTCAAACCTGGAGTGAATGTTTTTGTGTTAATTCGCTGTCATTTTTTTTCAGCCTTGGGTTAATACATTTCTCAACCTAAGAACATTTGCTTGTAAATATGAAGTGTAGAAGGAAAGTAGGAAGAAACCTCCTATTTTCTGCCGATGGGGAAAAAAACTAGAAAACAACAGATCTAAAAAAAATAAAAAATAATTATGAATTATTTTATGCAGCACATATAAATTAGAAGTGTTTTTACCAGCAGTGTTGTGTAGGAATATAAAGTTGTGTGACTGACAGATATACTGCATAAAAAAAAGGATTATTGTTGTGCAGTTTAATTGCAAGCGCTTAACAGTCAGGCGGTCATGAGAGAGGAGTAAGCAGCTGTTTTACTGTCCCCTTGATCCACATACTCTTCTGCTTTACTGTCCAGGAGCCATTGACCACCACACTGACATACTGCACGCCTATATGCACCAGCTGGTAGCCCGCTCCCCTTTTACTCACTCTGTCTGGCTCTAATGATGATGCAGATGGAGGTGGAGTGATGGCACATGATGAGGAAATGCGTTTATAAGTACACTGATACAACAGATTACCAACAGCAGCATCACAATCCCCAAACACAAATAAACAAGCGACTAACGCTTCCTTTAAATAGACCACGTGAGGGAAGTTGCCTTTTTTATACAAAGGATGATTTCTGTCTAAATTTAACGTGGACTGAAAAACATCTGTCTGTAGCTGCGTCAAATTTTCCGGCGCACTATTCTGGGTGAATTGATATATTTCTGGAAAGCATTGAAATATGCCATCTGCGTTAATCTGCTTTCTTACCACCAGGCTGCCTGCACCTCCCGCATCATCCTTCACAGAGGAAATTAAGATATTTGACTCTTGGAACAATTTTAGCAGGGAATTAAGGTCGTTTTTATTTCGCCTGCAAATCTTGAGCTGCAGACGCCAAAAGAAAACACAACAAGCTATTTTTATCGAGATTAATGACAGACATTGTAACGACGATCGGGAGGAGGAATGAGTGTGTCCGCCTGCAGGGATTGCCTTACCTTCAGTGCATGCACGCTAATGATCACATCGCATGTACTTGAGGTCAGGATTCGCAGCCTTAAGGATTCAAAAGGAAAGCTGACTAAGGAATACGCATGTAACTACATCACAAGTGAGTTCTGAGGATGTCCACTGGACGCCAAGGGCAAGTTCAAAAGCTGACAAATTTCCTTGAAATCCTCACTTTTGCCCTTTTTCTCTCCGTGTCCCTCTTTTGCATTCAGTGAGGAGGCCACCTGTATTATTTTTGTGCTGAGGCTGCGTCTCTGCATCTTCCTCGCTCCACTGCATAATTAATGCCTCATTAAGGCATGCATGAAAACATATGTGCCGGGATAGGCTCTTCTAATCAAGATGGACTATATTCCTTCGCAGCTGCCCTGTCTCCAAGGGGAAAGGGAGGAGAAGAGGAAAGGAAAGGAGAGAATGGCAGGAAAGAGGATGCTTGAGCAGACAGCTTTTCATAATGTGGTGTGTAACTAGCGCCCAGTTTTTGATATGTCTAATGAACCTCCCTGGCAAAACTACATGTTCGGGTCAGGTTGACTGATTATACAAATAGATTGAAGTAAGATAAGCCAAGATATGAAATGAAGCCTTAAAGGTATTTGGTAAAAGCATCTATTCTACTACACCATTTGAATAAATATGTATTATAAACAATCTAAATCTTATGGAGAATTTTTTTTAGTTCATTCATTTTGTACCTAATGACGTCCTGGCAGGTACTGCATCCTTATTGATCCAGAATGAGACCCAGGAGAGGACCACAATTAGGGTGCATGGGATGTAGGTCTGGATGGTGAAGTATCCCATTCTCCTGCTCAGGTCAAAGAAGACGGTCAGCACCACATAGTCTCCTGGAGAGAGAAAGAATAAGAGAGAAGAAAGAGTGAGGACAGGGTGGATATACAATAAAACACCTGGGATACAGAGTTTCTATGAAGGACAAGGTTCTTCATTTAAAACTGTATTCAAAGTCCATCCTAGAAAACAATGACAAGATATTTTAATATGCAGTCAATTCAGCAAGTACAAAAACTACTTCTACTCTATCATTTCACATTATCTACAAGGATTAAAGAAAATCAAAATTGATCAGTGGACGATGTAACCAAAATCGTCACTGCTTCTTTGCCCGAGGCGGCTTGGAAATCTAAAATGAAATTCAGAGAGCCGGGGCCGGATTCGCTCGCAAACCCCGGTCTCCTGCCGGTGCTTAGCCGCAACATGAACACCAGCCTCCTGCTGATGATGAGCCCTTCCCCGGGCCGGCTGTCTGACCCCAGCAGATGTTAGGTCTGCAGAGGCTGAGGTTTGCTGAGCCCAGATAGACATGACCCTGACAGTATAGATCATGTGGGCTGCCTGTTTAAAATGGAAGCTTAGAATATATGCACACACAAACGCACATGCCTCAACCCTCTTGCACTGCACACACACACACACACAAACACACATGCAAACACTCACACTTGCCAATAGTTGCTGCCCTCTTCACCTGTCTGCCTGATATTTAAATGGAAGATCATTAACAACGTCCCCTATCTCAGTTGTTGGCTAATTGATTAACGTCAGACTGTTACAGTGTCGGAAACCTCGCCTGGCCTCTCGCTATGCCTTCTAACCTACAGGACACAAACCTACTCTCCCTCAGCCATGTATCTGCAGTGTGTGTGTGTGTGTGTGTGTGTTTAAGTACTCCAGGCACACAGAATTGTCTCTGCAGCTGGGGAATGAACAGCTGGCTAATAATTTTCCTCATGAGAAAGGGCGCACAACATGCAGTTTATTGAAAAACAGCCAACATCTGTGTATTTGTGTGGCGATGAGAGACGGATAGAGAGGGAGACGAGACTGTCGGTGTGCATCATGTCTGGGAAACGTGTGCACGTCGTGTGTGTGTGTGAGTCCTCGTGGCGTCCCGACCTCTTTGTGATTTACTCCAGCACGCAGCCATTGACGGCATTAGTAAATAGAGCAAGTGCAATAACCCCGGCTCCACAACTATAACTGTTCACCATGTGCGTTTTCTGCTGATGCAGGCAGGTGCTCGGGATATTACAGTGCGCTGTTTGTAGGAGTACAGGAGACGCATGAAGGCTGCTCTCAGGGGTCCCTCAGCCCACTATTTTGTGTTTATTAACATTTCATTAGCAGGGGCCCAAAACCGAGACCCCAGACAGCTGAGAAACTGCCGCTTAATACACTTATTCCAGCTTGGTCAGCAGCACAAAGCCTCCTTCACATTTACTCAGACTCTTAATGATAATGGGCTCTCCACCTCAGGGGTGAGGTCAGCTGGAGTGAGACCCCCCGTCTTTCGCCTCTCCTCTGTCTCTGCGCCAGTTTCATTATGGGCCACAGCGGTTGCCAGGAAGACACTTTGAGGAGGTGTTATCGACCGGTGCCCTACATTCTGGCAGGCTGATGTATCAGTATCAGACCACCTGCCATTACCGCTCCATCGTAATGCATGTGTTTGTTAATGACTTCCTGATTTCCACTCTAAACAAAATGGTTCCCAGTTCCATCTCTGGCTTAAGTGCCTGGCTGGGATTTCACAACATTACTGTACGGGAGGCAAATAGTTTAGTGTTCCAGACAGACCATGGACCATGTGATCATTACACAATGTTGCTATGCATGATTCTTGTTTATATGATTCTTATAGACTGTCAGCTTGGGTGAATTTTATATTCTTACGTGGTTCTGCCTTCATTCAGATTATTCTGCACGTTCTTCTTAAAGAAAAGTATATAATCCCTGTGTGTGTCTAATGTGTGGGGGTGTTGTTAGTGTGCATCTCTACCACTAGGAGTCACCAGTGTCAGATATGTTTGAATCCTCTACATAGGGGCTTTCAATTTAAATGAATATCAAATAGCGGATTAAGAAGCTGTCCCCCCCGTGTCGCCATTTTGACTCATCTTGCATCAATTTAGTATTTCATTAATGGCAGCAGCCTTCAGCTAATACAGCCCCTTGTTGTCATGTGTCACATTAGTAGGTTCAAACTTCCAAACATACAGTACGAGCAAACTTTTGCTCTGGACTTGCTATTGATAATGTTTGATTAGAAAAAAAATACTGATTCTCGTTGTTATAAAGTCATCGTTAGATTTTCCTCTTGCAATTTTGACATTCTTTATTTGTGCATTTTGTTCGAGTCAGGTGGAACCATTGGGTTCTTTGCCACATTAGTGAACATTTGAATGTGCGGTTCAGGCGAGGTACATGATTTGCACACCAGCATACAAGTTGTGTGTGTGTGTGTGTCCCAGTTTACTTCTCATAAGAATGCAGCAGCCATATCAAAGCATTCAAACCTTTCACGCCGGCATTGGAAATCTAAAATTCCTCCTTAATGGGAGCCCTCGGACTAACCTTAGCTTGAACTCCCCATCTGTTAGCACCAGCAGAGGAGGGTGTGGTCACGAGCTGCTTCAAGCCTCATGGCATCTGTATGGATAGTTCTCTTTTTTTAAGGCTGTTACTATTGAGGTCAACGTTTCCTTCTGGGATCAACAATGAATGTAAAGACGCTGTCGTCTGAGACGCTCATCTGTGAGCTGATGCTCTTTGCATCTTTGTTAATAAAATCCCTTAAAGTTCAAATGTATCCAATCTTATCTGTTTCATTGCTGCAATAACATTTCTATCAATTTAGTCCGTCCCTTTCTGTTTGTAATTCATGAGCGACAAATGTGTGAGGGAAAAAAATCAACTATGCATAAGACAGCTCAAAACTATTGTTTGTATTAAGATGTGATTTGAAGTATTTTTATTAGGATCACACATATCACCAGCAAAAGCGATTTATTGCGAGCTGATGAAATCTCCGGAAAGCAATAAAAAGTTGGCGGAGACGATCATTCATCAGAGAACTGTGTTGCTTTGTTGTTAAAAGCCACAAACACAACTCAACAGAATTACCAGCACACTCAAACACAAACAGCAGCAGCAGCAGGAGAAAGGGAAAAAAAAATCATCATTCTTCAAATACGAGCCCACTACCAGGGTGGAAATAAAAAAAGATATCATCATAGAATACAGAAATTGTTATAAGATCCTGTATTTGATCAGTATTGACCCTATGAGGAGATACGCTGGTCCCTGCTGTACATTATCTGCAGAATAGCCACAGGGGGAGTTTCATAGGAGGGAAACATGGGAATTCAGGAGTGCTGACCAGAAGAAGAAAAAAAAAAGAAAAGAAAAATGTCACATGAGAATATCATTCTGTCGGCAGCCAGGCTGTAAATTGGTGTGGATATAGATGGGCAGGAGAGACCTAAGGCACATGCTGGCCATCCAATGAAGGGAGACAAGCCAGACACATTGCAGAGCTGCTGACAGGCTGTCTCACTGAGCTCCTCTGCTGTCAAGGGTCATAAATATCAGAGGTGACAGCAGATGCTATTGTGTGCATGCATGTGCATGTGTGTGTGTGTAAGAAAAAGACAGGAGCTTCACTAATGACCCGGGTTATGCCACGGCTGGTTTCTGGGGTCAACGATACTTAGAGACGATGTTAACTCACCACTTTCTGTGACATGACTCGGGGCTATGTGTGAGCGATTAACCAGTTACCATAGCTTTGCATTTTTGCCTCCACAGTGAACTGCAGCTATTCCTGCCCAACAGTGGGAGGTGAGATGATGTCACCGTGAAGAAAAAAGAAAAAAGGCACGGCATTGTCATGGTGAGTAACTGCGGCAACACAGCGGCATGATTACACAGCAGACAGGAGGCTACGCCGTTTGATTGCCTCGTTGTTAACATTGTGTTCAGTGTGACAGGGACGGATGATTATCCTTCCCGCAGACGCAGTAATTGCTCTCACATTATTGAGAGGAGGATTTTGTGACAGGTAGTAAGAATCTGCACAAAAACAGTTTCCCTCACAGTTATCGGAGAGTTTAGTAGAAAGTGAATAAAAAGTAAAGTTGAGGAATATTTTTTAGATTGAAACAATGCTAACATGCTATCACGGCTGGATTAACCTACTGAGGAGCAGTATTTCTACGCTGGATTACTACACCATGAATGTGTTATACTTGATTTCAGCTGTATTGAAACTACATTTGATACAGGGACCCACTATAAGACGAGGCCTAAAGATGGCTCAGTTTAAATTAGTGTGTGACATATAGTTCTGCATCATGCCCAAACACATTTGTAATCAAATGTGCAATATGTAACTTTGGCCACTAGGTGTCTCTCAATTGAAACGATAACAAAAGGTTGAGTTTAATAATAGTGAGAAGCAGCGTGGGATCATGGGAGTTGTTGTCTTCACCACCACAGCTGATCTAAATATACCTGATAAATGTTACGCAACAAATGACATACACGTGATCCGAGTGACCAATACAGACCGTGGGAGGAAATTGGTTCGCTGGCTAACATGCTAGCAGTGTGTTTTTGTCCTTATTATACATCACTTGTGCCAGAAGTTACCGCAGAGACAAGTAAAATAAATACGACCCATTTAAAAAGCGATGAAAAATTAAACGTCCCTTTGCCTTGAATAAACTTTTGTACAAAATATTTGGGATAATTAAAAAACTCAAAAAAATATGTAACAAAGGTTTATTTTATAATTATTACATATTATAACTTTTATCAAATCACCACACAGTTTTTATCCAGCTTGTATTAGCCTTGATTACCTTAAAAAAACATACAGCACTTTTTGGCTTTTTCTTTTCATGCCACAAAATCGAGTTTGTTCTCGTCTTTTTTGCACTTGTTTTATTTCTCAACTGATATTTTAAGACTTAAAACTCCATAGTGTGTTTATTTCCATCACTTCATTTAATTAGAAACAAGGCCGACGCGTTCTCACATATCTGCG